CTCCGGGAATCCCTTCCACAGCTCCTAAAACGCGCCCAATGTGTGAATGAGGAAGAAGCCCTCGAAAATGTCTTCAAATACGAGCTTGGGGAGTCAGATTAGGGTTTCGCGACCGACGCATAAGTCTTTGCACCCGGCGCAGGGCCTTCCAGAGAAGTTGAGCAATATCTGCCTCAGGACACGCCCGGCGCAATTTCCTTTTACACCCGGCGCAATGTCTTCCAGAGAGTTTGAGTTACTCTCTACCTCGATCACGCCTGGCACGAGTAGTCTTGCGCCCGACGCCTTTATGACTTGCAGAGATAAGGCACTCTGTTCCGCTCAAGCACGGCGCGGGTCATCTTGCGCCCGGCACAGTTACTCTTCTATGCTCCTTAGCTCCTTAAGTTTCCAATCCAAAGGATCTTCAATCCTCAATTCTCTAGCTCAATACCTGCACAAAAATGAGGTGTATTAAGGTATTGTTAGCTAAATTTGGGTTAGTTATATCTACACACAAAATGAACCAAAAAGAGAACAATTATATTGCAATGGTTCAAAGGATGAGTGGAATTGTTCAATAAGTCTTGTCCAAAAACAAGTATAATTGAGACTTAACACTCTACAGTCACAACACATCCTCCATTTCCCATCTTTTTTGGCCACCAATAACACAAGAATTACACAAGGACTAAGACTCTTTTGAATCCAACCCTTATCCAACAATTCTTGAACTTGGAACTCAATTTCCTTTTGTCTATTGAGGGCTTTTTTTATAAGCTAGCCTACCAAATAGGTTAGATTTTAGAACAAGATCAATTTGATATTTTATATCCCTAAAAGGAGGAAGTCCTTTAGGACCTTTACTAGGCAATATATCACCAAATTCCTTTAAAAGTTCTTAAACCTCTTTAGGTAGAGGACTAGGTTCTAAAGTTGTAGCAATGCAAGTTAGTACCCTTTTAAAGAGAATGTATAAAGGTTTTTCATCAAGAAGGAATCTTTTAAATTTGTGTTTTGTTACCAAAATACTCTCCTTGTGATCGACCTCTAAAAAGGAAACACTACTCTCCCTGACATCCTCTTTACCCTTAAGTTTTAAGGACCTTTTCTTTTCTTTTCTTTTTTCTATTTTTTTTCTTCTCTTCTGTTAATTGTTTCATTTGGAATTGATTCTCCACCACTTGAGATGGTGATAGAGGATGAAGTACAAGCTTTTTATCCTTATGTGTAGCAATGATTTCATTAGTAAGGCCATTATGCATATATTTCTTGTAAAATTACCAAGGTCTTCTTAACAAAATGTGACAAGCTTCCATAGGCACTATATCACATAAAACTTCATCTTCATAGTTTCCTATAAAGAACTTGACTTTCACTTGTTGATCTATTATCATATCTCCACCTTCATTAAGCCAATGAAGTCTATAAGGTTTGGGATGTGGAATGGTAGTGAGATTCAACTTTTCCACCAGCCTAATGCTACAACAATTGTAACAAGATCCATTATCAATAATGAGAGAATATGAATTTTCTAAAATTTTGCATCTTGTATGAAAAATGTTCTCCCTTTGCAATAAGTTTTTTTTACTAGGCTGAATTCCTAGGAGTCTTTTTATCATAAGAAGATCTCCATCATAGAGATAAGTAACTTCTACATTAGATTCTTGTTCACTTTCTTCTTCCTCACTCTCACTTGAAGAAAAGGAAGTAGTAGCCTCATCTTGGCTACTATAAATGTCCTTACCCCTCAAAATTATAGTCTTCTTATTAGGGCACTAAGAAATAATGTGGCATCTCCCTAGACATTTAAAGCATTTTATATCACTAGTCATATTGCTAGTGTGTGGATTGTACTTCCTTTTTTCTTTCTCTTGATTCTTAGAGGAATCTACTTTAGAATGATTGTTGGAAGAACTTACTTCCTTCTTATGATCTTTCTTGTAATATGGAGTAAAGTGAGATGGTTCTTTCTTATAAGAAGTTTTTCTCAAATTTTGTTGTTCTACCTTTATACAAAGTTGGATTAGATCATTTAAGTCCCTATAAGGTAGAAGCTCCATTTTATCCCTTACTTCAAGGCTTAGACCACATAAAAACCTTGAGATTGTGGACATATCTTCCTCCTTAATTCCTCCCCTCATCATGTATAATTCCATTTTTTGTCTATATCCTTCTATAATTATATTTTTTTTTGTTTGACACTTTGGAGCTTATGCATGAGCTCCCTACCATAATAAGAGGGAATGTTACTCTTCTTAATGCACTCCTCAATTCATTCTAATATTGAATTGGAGAATCATTATAAAGGTATCTTTCACACTCTAGGGAGGTCCACCAACACATAACGTACCCTTGAAAGCTTAGGGTAGTCAAAGGCACTTTCATGTCCTCACTTAGTTGGTGGCAAATGAAGACTTGTTTTACCTTCATCTCCTAGTTTAAGTAAGACTCTACATCATCTTTACCATAAAAATGAGGGAGATCTATTATAGATTCCCTAAATTTGGTTTCTTTTTTTATCCTCCTAAGTGGTGGTTAGTAGAATCCACCCATGTGGAAACTACCTTCTTGATGGGTTAATTAAGTCCATGGTAGAACCTTGTGAAGTGCTACTTCTATTTTTGTTTCTATTTATTTTTGTCCTAATTTTTTATTCTTCTTGCTTCACCAATCTTATCTCCTCCTCAAGAATAACAAGATTAGCTTCTCTTTCAAATTTTTTAATTTTTCTTTTGCAATAATTCCTCTTTCAATTTTTTTATTTTTCTTTTGCAATAGCTTCTTGTTTTCTCCTTAGTTTAAGTGATTAAAGTTCTCGAGCAAGTTAAGAAAATCTTCTTGGAGAATTTCAATCACTTCCATTATGTTGGGAATATTGATCACTCATGGTGAAGTAAGCTAAAAAAAACTAAGAACTAAGGTAATTTAAATAAAAGATTGAACACTACACTAACTAACCGTGACTCTAAGTATTTGAATAAGCCTTTGAAACTTATCAAATAATCTTAAATATAAAAATAATAAAGCATATGCTAGTCGAATTTTCAAATGTGAAAAACTGAAGAATATATGAAATTTTCAAGTCACTTTCACAAGTCCAAAACGCATATATCACTAAAACTAAATTGGGGGAGATGGGATAACACTAAAGGCTTCCCAAGGCACCCCAAAGACCAGATTACAAGAAAAGAAAACAAATAAATTTATATTACAAAAACAACAAATCTACCACTGTTAGTGATAAAATTAGAGATAGATTTTGTGATAGAAAAGCTTTGTGATAGAAAATCTCGTGTTTAAATTTGTTACTAAATCTTCCTCTTTAATTGAATTCCTGCTCAAATCAGTAATGAAAGGTTAGCCTCTCCAATGTTTCACTCCACTTTTGAGGTGCTAGAATCTCTCTTGTAACCAAGTAATTTAGGTGTATTGCTCTCGGTTTGGTACAATTCTTCTCCAAAGCCAAGGTCACCAAAGGAATCATACCTCCTAGGCTTTTCACACAACAACTTAAGATATTACCTTGTGAATTAGGCCTTGTTTAACCATCAAAAGAAAGAAATGAACGCACCAAAGAAGTGCTTGGAAGTTTGGAATACAAACAGTAATAAAAGCACAAAATTTAAATTGTTAAACTCAAATGAATTTAACTTGACAAACTTCAATGAATTTCAAACAATTAGACAATCTAAAATTAAAGTAGATTTTAAAGGTAGCACTAAAATAGATTTTCCCTAGAATAATTCTAGATAAGATGAAGAAAACTAAAATAAAAAGATAAAAATTAATTATTTTTTAAGACTAATAGTTGCATTGGACCATATAATGTGATTTAGACAAATATTTTTTTATTTACATTTTATCATTTTCTTAAATTCTTTTTTCAATCTTTTGTTTGAATTGTGAGAAGATATATTGCCTTTTGATTGATTAATTTTGCAATCACTCAAACATAGTATTTATTGATGTACATAATTTATTTTAAATTTTAGCTTTATATAATAAATATTAACTTGTGTATTTGACAAGTTAAAATACTAGTAAATATTTTAATAAACTAAAAATAAGATATATATATATATATATATATATATATATATTTATATTTCCAAAAGTAAGAAATATTTGCCTAAAATAAATTTTTAGCAAGGTTTCATATAAAAATATACATTTGTATTATCAGTTATGATTTTAATTTGATTATGCTATGAATTTTAATAAGAGTGTATACAACTGTATTAGTTAACTTATCAGAATATATCTGTATTATCAATTTGTTTGAATAAGATAATATTTGTATTATCAAAATGAATATAATTCCTTATCAAAATGAATATTTGTATTACCTTAATTAATATAATTAAATATTTTTATGAATTAAAATGAAAATTCTTTATATTTTAAAAATATAAAGTTGGTGATTATTTACCTAAAATAAATCTCACAAAATTTCTTAATTTAAAGTTAAATTTATTAAAAATTAGAATGTA